GAAAATTATAAAATAAAATTAATAAAGTAAGTATATATAATTGTAAGTAGTAAGTATATAATTGTAAATTTCTTCAAAGATTTACTATGATTTAATGCTTTTTTTATTACATTGTGTCTTATAAAACTTACATTTTAGAAAATGGCAACACTTTATTATCTGTGGATACTGTGGATGATGAAGCATCACCAGATACTGGCGAAAACACTGGAAATGCTTCAATAGTTATTGAAACGTCACTGGTTCCTGACAAAGGCACTACTTCAGTCAACGAAGCATCACTCGACATTTGCTGAGACATTTCTTCGTGGAATGTATTTGCAACTGATACTGGTAGAGGCACTGCTGTATAAGAGGCTCTTGCAGTTGACAAAGCTGCCTGATCAAACTCATCCTTGGTTAAAACACTAGATGTTGGAGGAAGATGCAATGTAGGAATAGCATCCAAATGTAACTTTCTCCCTTTACAAGGACTATAATGAAGCATTTGTTGCTGCAAAGACTTCACGAAGCACGTTTCATCAAAATGCTTAGAACATATCCTAGCTAGACAAACAAAAAAATAAACTTATATTATTAACAATGTTGGTGTACAATTTGCATAGTGTCGGTATATAATTTGCTTACAACAATTCCTTATAAAGGGAACAAGTCAGTTGCAAATACATTCCACGAAGAAATGTCTCAGGAAAACGTTTTTTAGAAGTTGCAAAAATACTTTAAATTCAAAGTTTTGCTGTAAATTTTTACAATTTTACTGCAAACTTTTAGTTCTATTACTAAATTTTTTAGGTTAACTACGAAGTAAAGCTACTAATAAAAAATATTTTCGCGAAGTTAAAAGGCGTTTACCGTTAGGGATTAAGAACAAAAAGTTGTAATAGTTGTTGTAAAAAGAGTGTTTGCTCTTAATAAATAAATAAATAACAAACTTACCAGTTTGAACGTTCACATCTTTTCCGCATGCTTTGCGCCACTGTTCAGCAATTTCGAGGTCTTTTGGAAAAGTAAAATATTTAATATTACTTTTCTCAATTTTCCTCGTTTTTTGCCAAATAATTATCGCATCCTTTCACTGTACAAGTCATCGTAAAAACTTTAGCTCTTCGATTTGTGCTATGCATGGACGCTATATGAATTACGGCCGAAAACAACCAATCGCGTTCTCGCATCAAAACCAACCAATCCGCGTATACCGAAATGTGACGTAGTCAAAAACATGCGCGGCACAAGACCAGTTTTAAATAAATAATGAGCATACTCTTGTTTTTATACCATGATTCCAGCAATCCTGGCAAAGCTGGGGCTGACCCCACCCCCAGGTACAACAACAAGAAGAGAGTTTCCCCCTCCTAAAAAGGAGAGGAAGAGGGGCAAGAGGGGAAAAATGGCCAAGGCCGTTCTCCCTTTTTCCGCCGCCCCCTCAAAGGGAACCCCAGGTCCCCGTCGGACCGGAGAAGGACTACCCGCAGCCTCTGCGAAACCGGCAGCTGCGAGGAAGGGGGAGCCCCCCCCCCCCAAACGCAACAGAGCGCGTAAGTCCCTCCTGCCACCCAGACCTGGGCGAAGGTGGTGGGAAGGAGAGAGAGGGCGAGAGCAGCACAACCTGCAAAAGGGCAGGACAGTGGGAAAGGCCCGGCCAAACCCGCGCCCCCAAGTGCCCCGAAGACCCAGAGACCCCCCAAAACGGCGGCGATTACGATTACGTGTCCGCCGGGGAAATATTCCAGAGTCATAAGGGAGGCGAGGGGCAAAATCGCCCTCAAGGATTTAGGGATCGGCGATCTGAGAGTCGGGAAGGCCAAGACGGGCGCCACCATCCTGGAAATTCCGGGCCCTGAGGGCGGTAAAAAAGCAGACGCGCTGGCCGAAGCCCTTAAAAAAGTGTTTGAGGGGAGGGAAGGAATCAGGGTTGTGAGGCCCGCTAAAAAGAGGGAACTGCGGATCCGCGACCTCGATGAATCGCTTGATCCGAGCGAGGTCGCAGAAGCAGTGGCCGAGGTGGAGGGATGCCCTCCCTCACTGATCAGGGTGGGATCAATCTGGCCATCCCCCTATGGCATAGGCGTGGCCTGGGTGCAGTGTTCCCTCTCAGCGGCAATCAAGGTCGCGGAGGCGGGACGCATCCAAATCGACTGGGCAAAGGTAAAGGCCTCCTTCTTAAAGGAGAGGCCCTTACAATGTTACCGATGCCTGGAGAAGGGGCACGTGCGGGCGAATTACTCGGGCCCTGTGGATAGGAGCGGGAGCTGCTATAGGTGCGGCTCGACCGTGCACCTGGCACGGGATTGTGCGGCCCCGGCGAGCTGCCTTATATGCAGGGAGAAGAGGCTCTGCCACATCCACAGAGTGGGGGGCCCAGCATGCAGGGCTCCTAGGCCGAAGACGAAGGCGGGAGGAAGGAACGTCACTGCGGGCGCGGCTTTGGCCCCCGCGTCCGTCCCTGCAAGAAAGAGCAAGGAGGTGGGCACATTGGGCGCGGCCTTGACCCCCGCACCCGCCTGAAAAGCAGTCGCGGAGGCGACTTCAGAAGAGGACGAGATCCCCTGAATCAAGCCGAAGGAAGAAAGGCCCAGGGACCGAGGAGATCGCCGAACTTAGGCGTCTCTCCTCGGCCACCAGGCGCAGATTCCTGCGTGTACGCAGAAGGGGGTATCACGCCGAAGTGACTATAGCTCTGGAGGGTTTTGTGCTGCGCGAAGCGCCCTCCGAGCCGCCATCGGGAAAGCGAAGGCCAGGGCTTGGAAGGAGTTGACCTCCACCCTGGACCGGGATCCGTGGGGGTGTCCCTTTAAAATAGTTCTCAAGAAGTTGAGACCAAGGGCGCCCCCGACTGCGGAGAGACTGAAGCCGGAACTCCTCGGGAATATTGTG